GTATGTGTGGGGTGGAGCTATCAAAATAGGGGCGAAACTCTTTTAGGGTAGGGGCGTGTTTGTTTTGGTGATTTGAAATATCAACATTGGCTACCAGAAATCACTTACCCCACCTTTAATGTCAACAAAATCAAACAAGAATTTTGAACCTCAGTATCCAATGTTCAGATTTCTGTTCTGGAAATGCATGCAAATGAATGCATATTTAATTAGATTCACGTCTCATTTGCATATTCAAACATTCCATTTCAGAGCATTTGTAATATAAAACCATTCAAAACCAAAGCGGTTCTAATCGGTCTCGGTGTAGTGATGTGTGTGGGATCTGTGCTGTGTTTCAGGCTGGCCGGTGGTTCTTCTGGCCGGTGGTGTGTCTGGGATGTGTGGCTGGGCCGTCGGGACACCGATGGATGTGATCAAGGCGCGTCTGCAGGTGTCTGGTGTGAGCGGCCGGCGCTACAGAGGATTCTTCCACTGTCTCTCACACAGCGTGAGGAGCGAAGGCGCCGCTGTTCTCTTCAGAGGTCTGACGGTGAACTGCATCCGTGCCTTTCCGGTCAACATGTCCGTCTTTGCCATGTATGAACTGGTTGTTCGCTTTCTGCGTTCGGAGTCATAGATCGTCGTCAGATCTTCTTTGCACACGTGATTCCTCACTGAGGACGGTTAGCATCAGTGTTTTATGAACCGCACAGCTGGATGTTTGTGAGCCTTTCTGTGCTCAGCTTCTGAGCTGCAGAAGCTCTTCAAACACATAATGTACGGAGTGAATATTTATCATTTGCATTAATATATATTTGAGTGTGTTTTGCAGTGTCTACCTCCAGATGCGTGCGTCTATGCATCATGAATGTTTAAAGGAATAGTTCAGCCAGAAATGAACATTTGCTGAAAATGTGCTCATCCCAGATCAGGATGAGTTTGTGTCTTCATCAGGTTTGGAGAAATGCAGCATTGCATCAGTGTCTCAAGTGAGGAAGCATTCAGCACATTTTCATTTCAGGACTTTAATCATGCGAGTACTATATGAACAGGTTTAACCCTCTACTAACAGTTTCTGATGAGTGAGACTCTTCTCTGTGTATTTAATCTCAGCTGGAATGACTGGAGACTGTTGGCGACGCTCATGTTTAACTCGTATCAGGATTTACACACTAACACGCGTTCTGTGTCAGATGTGTGTCTTGTTTTACAGATGGACTGTGAATATATCATGTGTTAAATGCACCATTTAGTCATGTGAATGTTCACTGAATCAGCAGTACTGTAATTATGGCATTAAACGTGTCATTTACAACATCAGAGTGTCATTATTTATGCATCGCAGGCATGAGCTTTATCAGACAGGAGCGGTTTGTATCTGTGGGTCACTGAGGGCCAGAAGTCTGTGGTTTCTGTCTCTAGCAGTTGAAGTGTAGTTTGCGAGGGCTCATGAACTGTTGTACGATCTCGTCCGTCACGAGTTTGCGTCTCTCCTGATGCGCGGCGATCATGGGCTGAAGCGTCTCGATTAAACTCTTCTTCAGTTCTCCGGTGAGCAGCGCGCCGCTGCTGTATTCCTGCAACACAACCACGAGTTTACTATCACTCACATACTAGATTTTATGGTTGCACTTTACAATAAGCTTTCATTAGTTAATACGTACAATACTTTTACAGCACTTATTAATATTAGTTCATGTTAAGTTCAACATTCACTGATACATTATTAAAATCAAAAGTTGTATCTGTTAACATTTACTGAATAAACAACGTTAACCGATTAATTGGTCATTCATTGTCAATACATTGTTCATTCTTAGTTTGTTAGTTAATGCATTCACTTAAATTAACAAACGAGACTTTATTGTAAAGTTTTACCGTTTTTATTAATATTTTAATTTAGCTTTTATTTTTATATTTGCAGTTTTCATTTTAAATTGCAAGTTTTAGTAAGTTATGTTTTTTTTTTTTTTAGTTTTAGTAATTTTAGTACAACAAATTACACTAAATGAAAATTATGCATTGGCACCTAGCAGAAATAAAATGTTTTTGTCATTTAAAATTTTTTTTAATATGTCTATAAGGTTTTTATTCATTTTTATTTCAGTTTTTTTAGTTAGTTTTTTAGTACATAAAGTAAATGAAAATGAGAAACGTTGCCTTGGCAAGTTTTTAATATTTTTTATTTTGACTTAATATTATAAATATATTTATTTTACTTTTAAATTTCATTTTACAGTAAAAGTTTATTTTTTATTTCAAGTAACAAAACTTTCTATAATAATAAACATTTATCTGTATATCATTTTTCATATGTGTCCCTGCAGCACAAAAGCAGTGTTAAGTCGCTGGGGTATATTTGTAGCAATAGCCAACAATACATTGTATGGGTCAAAATTATACATTTTTCTTTTATGCCAAAAATCATTAGGATATTAAGTAAAGATCATGTTCATGAAGATATTTTGTAAATGTCCTACCGTAAATATATCAAAACTTAATTTTTGATTAGTAATATACATTGCTAAGAACTTCATTTGGACAACTTTAAAGATGATTTTCTCAATATTTAGATTTTTTTGCACCCTCAGATTCCAGATTTTCAAATAGTTGTATCTCAGCCAAATATTGTCCTATCCTAACAAACCATACATCAATGGAAATATTATTTATTCAGCTTTTCATCTCAATTTCGAAAAATTAACCCTTATGACTGGTTTTGTGCTCCAGGGTCACATATATGCAGTGGTGGACGAAGTACAGAAATCAAGTGCTTGAGTAAAAGTACAGATACGTATAATAAAATATTACTCCAGTAAAAGTAAAAGTACTCCTTTTTCAATTTTACTCGAGTGAAAGTAATAGACTTTTTATGTACTTAAGTAAAAAAGTACTGATAGATAGATTTATTTTGCAATTTTATTTAGGCTACTTCATTTAATTTTATATTAGCACATATTTTTTATAATCCTACTGCTCAAAATACCTGGGATTTTCCCAAAATAACCACTATAT